TCTACATACCAATTTTAAGACAATCTGGTAACCTCATGGTCTGAAAAACTACTAGGAATTGTTCAATTTGAGGTGCTTATAGAGTAGAAGAAAGTTTTTAAATTAAACTTGACTTCTTTGCTAAATTGTTGTGACTCACCTCATCATGAAAGTTGTGATAAACCTGCATAAATAAATAAAATGTATCAAAATCAATAATTATTAGGATATTGACTAAAATGCAGAAGATACCTGGCTAGTAAATGATTGTAAGAACTACAAAATATATTTTGTAATCATGTGTAATATAAGTCTTATGGTCCACAAACTACAGGCTGACCATGGATACCTAAGTATGAGAGTTCATGGAGCACTTACAGTGATCTTTGCTCCGCTTTCTGCATTGATTCTTTGCATGTGTTTTAGGAATTCTGGCCCGTGAGCATCATGATCCTTTAAGATAAAGAAGTAAAACTTGCATTTATGTCAGTTCTAAAGCAGCCTGTTGACCATCCACAGGACTTACAGGGACACTATCATCATGGTGATTGTGCTACATACATGTTTGTTCAAAGCAGTTGTGACTGAGTAGTCCTTTGCTCAAGACAAGTAACATTAAACCAGTTGAGTGTCATTTCCTTGCACTGTAATTTAAGCATCTGGCTTTTCTAGCCAGTAAGATTTGACAAACACTTAATAAACCTTCTTGTCAGTCAGATCAAGTCATGTTTTAGCAGTAAGTAACAAAAGAATGTGCTCAGGGGCAGATCTCTAGAGGGCTCTCAAGAGAGTCTTTTCCTAGTGTGCAAGAACTCAAGTTTCTAAAACAGACGATTGAGTGGTGAGCAGCAAAGCCACAAACTGCATGTTTGGAATTTCGATCATGTCATCATGAATTTGCCTCTTCCCATTACCTCCTCGTTTCTTTCTCAAATTTGCATAATATCAACCAAATTCCATGCCCAAAGGATTTCAGGAACAAAAAACCGACTACTCATAGTCTATCAAGAAACAAATAAGCCATTTACCTTGTTGTTCTGTGTTACAAACAATAAAGCATGTATCATCTCGTGCTGAGAAGAGACAAATTATTGACATTAGTACTACATAATTTACAAACTTAAGGAAACCTCCATAGTACTATTACAGGTAAGAAACTTCTGGTCTGTTTAATGATAAAAGCATTTTCAGGGTAAGTCTGCAGAACACCCTTAAATTCAAAAATATTATTGTACCTTGAATTCTTCCCCTTCTCTGATATGACAATCTTATTTATTTGAATTTTGTGGCTGTCAAGTTATACATGCTCTGGTCAGGATCAGCCATGAGGGGAAGTGGTATACCCAATTATATACCTGAAAAGAAAAACCCGTTATACCTAAAATTTCCCCTCAAATTCATGTGAATGACCAAAATTTGGAAAAACAAGGTATACTTTATACCCATAAAAGGTCCAATTTTGGCGTCAAAATACCATATACTTGATATAAAATCTCCCTGTATACTGTTAGTGTATACCCAAAACCCCTGGCCGACCCTGACTGATGGATTACACTAACGAAGCAACACTTCTGATGATTTCAAATGATGACAGCACAACCTACATATAAATGCATCACCACAACATAGTATTTTGATACCACAAGCCCAGAACTAGTCCTGAACAAATGGGAAAAAGACAGACATCATGAAAATTACCAGTAACGTTTGTACAAGATCTTTTCTTGGACGCAACTTGAGTAATGGTGCACTGAGTCTTATAGAACAGAGTCCTCCACGGCCCTCATAACAACACAGTCCAGCACATCTAATGGATCAAGAACATGTAATAACACTTTTAGACTTCCCTGAGCATAATATATCATGAATGAAACCAAGATTAAATCATTGCTACCATATACATGATATACTCAATATACTGCAGCTTCATTTACAGTATGTACAGGACCAAATATTCACAGATTTCCTTCTTAATATCAAATAGGCAACTGGATAATATAGGGAAGAGTGGGGGCAGGGTGGGGGG